CTTAATCGCGGGATGGTTTGACTCTATGATTCATAATAGGGATGCTTGAACAGCAATTGCGACAGGTTCTGGAGGGGTCTACGGGGAACGTGGAGTGCTCAATAGTACGCCAATGGGGAAAATGGCGGAGAAATCCGTCACGAGAGCACGAAAAATCGGACCTCTTGTGTGGCCCTTGATGCTCGCTCAAGGACAGACAGGGGCTACGATAGCGACGCATGACAGTTTCGCCGGCCTTGCTGGTGGCACACGCCAATCCATGCTCCAAATCAAACTTGCTGGCAGTATCCGCTGTGGCAACCAATGTCTCACACCGAAAACTAATCTAGTGGGCAGACTCACTTTTGGTAGCGCTCACAACCGTAGCGTCATCCTTCGTCGTGACGCTCCGCATCTCGCTCCTGTAGCCGATAGCTGCTTCGGGTGAGGCATACACTCCCCTTGACGCGCCTCACCGCCTTTAATCTAATCGCTTTTTTTATTCTAAAGCGCGGAAGTGAGGCTAGCTTGTAGCAGTCCGTAAATCTCCTGAAAAGACCAAAATGTCCTGACTAAGGAAATCTTTTCGCTCAACCGTTCTCACGAAAATCGATTTTTCCAGTTACCTTCTATAAGGTTTTGATCAGAAATTGACCCCCTCCCCCGTCTCTATTCTATATTCTATTCTTTCTCGACATGCTGCAACTTTTCTTCACGTTCAGAAGTGACTAAGACATAGTCTGTGCTCCAACGAATAAGCCCGAAGTTATTACGAACGCTGTCGTAGCGGCCAAAGAAAACTGTTTCAGTCAGAGAATGGTGAAAACTAAACCATTATTATTCACAGCAGCCGAAATAGACTTCCCTGATAAGGGAGGCAAATGGCATTATTTCAGACAACTAATTCAACTACTTGGAATTATACTTATGTTAGCTCAGTATATCCTTCCACTTTCACACATTCATCTCTTTCAAGCTTTATCTTCCTAATTGAAGCATTTTGCCCACTCAAGTGTATATATAAACTACTATCACAAACACTGATGTCTATCGTCAAACTCCAAAATAGGCGGGTTTCCACCAGATTGATGGTCTGACAAACAATGGGTGAAAGCTTGAAAAATTCGTTTATGGATTGGTGCATTCCGCTACTTTGTGTCGCTAAGGCAGTGTGAGAGGATATCCGATGTACGCCCACGTTAAAATATGCAGATATCGACCATGGCTCGCCAGCCCCTCATAGGTGGCGGTTAGCAATGGACGTCTTACACGATTTACTACGCTCCGGACGTATCAGTACAAATCCCTTCCGCAAGCCACATATGTATCAACATATCTTGACTTACAACATTCGATGTGTGGACCGTCACCGATATGAAAATAGACGACGGGCAGTAGAAAAGTTACGTTCCGCCTCTTTACGTCTTCGCTCAGAAGGCGGGGAGTCAAGGCAACATGGAACATTACACATTAAACAGAGACAACTTCAATACAATTCACGCCGATGGCCGCTCATATGGGCTGCCAACGTCATGTGCTTCTGAGACGATGGCAGCCCATATGGGCTGCCAGCTGATAATCGCTCGCCAGGCGCTAGGAATGGACAGATGGGTGGGTATCTCACAATCGAGTGAGAAACAGGGTCAACCGCCCGTTGCGCAAAGAACAACGAGGGGGTCGTATTCTGCCGAACGAAAGGGGAGGGGGTCGTATCCAGAGAGACGGCGCTGCAAAACGGCTTGAAAAGTGCAGTGTCCGGCAGTGCACTAATGTTCTCCAGGAGCTCTGTCCCGTGCAGTTGTCGGAGAGCATTACAGACAAAAGCTCGCATGGGAGCATTAGAGCATGAAGAGCATTATAAGTCTCATTGTCAGCCATATTAAGTCCTAAATACACGGACGGCGCTTTCACTCGACAGCGACAGCATAGATCAAGATTACAATAGCCAAAACTTTGTTACAGCGTAGTGCAAAAACATGGTCTGTCTTCGATGATCGAACATTCCTGAAATCCCAAGGAGAACAAATTGTAGAGCAGTTCATGGGGGATTAAAAGAAGAGTACCATATGACAGTACATTGCAACTCAGTCGCGATACTAACACCTTCTTCAGGAAAATGGAGGACTTTCAAATGCGACTTCTAACCACAGACAGGTGCGCGGCGTATACCCGAGCAGGCGTTTTCCCACAAAAACGCTTTCTCTGTCAGGGGCCGTAAGCAAACAAACTTACAAAGAAAATTTTGATGATGCCAAATCAAATCTAAGCGGAACAAATTGTAGCGAACTTGCTGTATTGAGTTCTAGAAACCCCTTAGGAAATTAAGGCAGAAGAAAAGAACTTTAAGGGGATTTTAATATTTCGAAGTACTCTTCGAGAGTTATTATGAAGTACTCTTCGAGTGGATTCCAACAATCTTTACCGCTTCTCATCACATTAATTTGAAAGGAAGTTATGGGCCTTTGAAGACTGCATAGTCGCGGTCCAGGAAAATGGCTTGAAAAAAATCAAGGTGGAAAAAACGGAACAACGGGACTATTTTTTGAGCGAGTGATTATTTCAAGAAGTTTTAGCACTTATTCGAAAGCTCTAATCCTCTAGTTTCTAATATTCTTAACACCTTGACGACAGCGCGGCAACTAGGTTTGCCGCGTTTTGCACGCCGCAATGGACATTGTGGCAACTATAGTTGCCACACCCTTTACATTCAGTTTTTTCTTGAACGCGCCATTTCTTCCCAGGTTTTTTGTGTTCATTTTTAGGCCATACCACAACATAACCAAGAACCACGCGGCTTATAGAATGACCAAATATTCTTTAGTTTGGCAGAGGTTTTTCGGACCGGACGAAAATATCCGTTCAGTTCATTCCTCATTTTCTCTTCATTAACACGAACATGTAGATAAAAAAGAATATTAGAAGTGAGTACAAAGCTACTCGTGTGGCAAGATATGTGTTTTTACCGAAACAACCACGTCCAAAATAATTTTGAAATCACTAAAGCAAAAGTAAGTGAAACTTGCCTTTTCAATGCTGTAACACATCATTCGACCGCACTTTCACATGTGTACCTTCCAATAAGTTTGACACACCGAATATCAGTGAAAACATTTTGTCGCATCGAAGTATTGCGTATTTAAAGCTCAAAATCCACAGATTTGTTGTGAGGCGGCGGCGCTCGCAGAACCGCTCTGGTCCCACGCGGCCAAAAATGCCAAAACGCGCGATGTCGTCAACGTGTTAAAATATGCGAACAGGTAAGCTATGTACATTTTATGAACGTTTGAATGTGAAAACTCGCGCTTCTCTACCCAAAAAGAGCCTGCAACCTCTAACTATCCAAACAGCGAACTCGAAACTACATATCCCAGTCAACTTTCCTATGGCCTATCCTTGGCTTGGAGCGGTGCACCAAATTATCTATGTCCGTCCCTCAGTCTGCCAAGATGGGTGACGCTGAAGTGTATCTTTGCGAAGCTGTCAATATACAGGGGTGGCCAAAAAAAGAGACACTTTGCCCATGGCGCACATCATCGAACTTTCGTCGCACAGGGTGCCGATGTTAATGAAAGTTTTACGGCGAAATATTCCTAAGGTGTTCCCCGTAAACAGAAGCAGGCCCTCCTTCACTGCCCCGCCGTCTTCAGAATATGACGTCATCTGCCGCCACCGTCGAGCTCAACGAGGCTTACCGTAATCGCTCCGGCCTGAAGCTGCTACATAATTTCTTCAATGGATTAACTGTTGAATAGCTTCCCAGAGACATTAGCTGTGACTATGCAAACCGCTTTTGACCAGCGTTTCAGGGACGTCGTAATGGTCTATGGTACCTCGACGACCTCGTTGAGCTCGTACCGTGAACCATGTTTCCGTGGGAAAATCTTCTGATGTCGTCGGTGTAGAAGGCTGTCATGTAAGTTTAGATAGATTAGAATGTGCTCTTCAATACTGAGTTGGGGCAGTCGATTTGATTTTAGCAAAGTGTGATTAATGCTGTCTGAAATGTGGAGTGAAGTGTCTCTTTTTTTGGCCACCCCTGTATGTCTGACGGTGAATCCTTGGGATAGGCGGATATGTAAGGAGCTTGGCCTGTAATGAGTAAAGGAATCCTTCCTCAGAAATTCTTGCATTCTTTTCCGCAATGAATACGTCAGGTGGTCACTAGAGAAAATATTAAAGATTCAGCGATAAGATTGAATTTACAAGGTGTGAGACCACACTTTATAGACAGTCGAAGGTGGGTCGGCTCCGCACAAACGAGTGCATGGAAGGAAGATGACCACGCATCGGGCGAATCTTATGCAAGCGTTCGGTTTCGGAGAATAGAAACAAAGCGACGACAGAATAGGTCCGATGGCCAGGTGGATGCGTTGCCGCCGCCGGCCTTGGTGACAGATGTACGGCGGGAATTCGAACGCGTAACAGTCTTTCTGAGTTTTCGAATTGTTTACAAAACCAAACTTGTCCTCTTCGTTCTTATTATGATGATGGGTCTCATGCCAGTGATTCATGGGTGAGAAAGAATAGTGACTTTTTTCTGGGAGGATTCCTTTAAGCCAGAAACCGTCTCCTTTGGTCGAAGTGAAACCATTCACCCATAAATATGAGACTATGAAATCAATAATTTGTGTAGATAGCCTGGACCAAATTGATGGTTTAAGAACCCCTGTCGCTTCTTGAGCTTCAATCTTGTCACCGATTTTGCGCCTCCCCCCGTGTTTCCACTGACTACCAAGGCATGACCGCTCACTCACTCGCCACACGTTAGAATGGCCCTATCACATCGTGTTTTCTTAGCAGAATGTTTTCTTCTTTGTTTTTTATTTTCTTCTGTTTTCCTCATAGGCTGATGCCAACCTGCGAGTAAACCGGTAGCGATGAATAGTAACAGTCTGACATAGTAGCTTACAGGTGAGTTGGTCCTTCTTCTGGTGGTGGTAGCAGCCTAATTCAGGTTTTCTTTTTCAGCTACAGAGGAAAACATACTGAAAATTGTACTGAACCAATAAAGGGCGCACAACATGAGCTCAGTGGTAGGAGGTACTGCAAAACTAAACACTGGCTACGACATTCCTCTACTCGGACTTGGTACTTACAAAATCACAGGAGCAGAGGTGAGGAACCCACATTGTCAGGAAGCCTATTTCAAAAGCAATCACACAACACATATTTCCACGTCTTGGTAATCTGCATGTGTGCTTCAGAATAGGCATCGATTTTGCCGCGCATGGGGTAGGTGTCAGACTTAGCGACTAATCGCTAACGAATCGAAAACTCCAGCGTTTCGTCAGCGATTCCTGTAATGCACCTGCGTTTAGAGCGATGGTCTCTGAGTCCGACACCTGCCTCACCGATAGCCACTCCCTATTATCCACGATTAAGAACCGTCGAACAATCTATTCTGTGGGCACTATGGAATAGCCCGCGAGCTGCGCCGTTTTTGCGGCTCGAGTGTGCGAGACCATGACGCTAGGGATCTCACGAAGTGAGTTAATGATTGCTACTATGTGCTAATGGATGATTGCCACGCGCACCTCCGCGGCACGCGTCGGTCGTGAATTACGGAGTAACGGCTAATTCAAATACGCGGGTTAGTGGAGCCATCGAGTATGCAAGCCCAGACAACTCGTCCGGAAAGCTCCTCTTTCATTGCAAAAGGGAAGCAAAAAAGTCATTGTAGAGTGTCCAGCGGCGGTCGCTTCGCTTTTTTTTTTTCATTTTCAGTCAACTCGGCATCAAAATTACACCATCGACCGCTGTTTCTCCTTCATTTCGTCTCGAATTTTTGTGTTGAAGCAACAACTCCTGACCAAACTGATGAGCTCGACAATGACAGAGTAAGAGTTGTTTGACAACGAAAAAAAGCGAGGAAACCGCCGATGAGCCTCCAGGAGGGGCTCCAGAGATGGGGATGCGGCGTGTCTGGAGGAGTTTTCTGAAGCTTTCTGTTCTGTGGTTCCACTAACTCACGCTTGTTTCAATCAACCGCCATATCATAGTCCACGGTGTGTGTCATCGGATGTGCGCGCGGAATCTCGTTCATTTGGTCACGTTTGCTCAGGTTGAGAGGTCGCATATTTTTGATTCGCGACTATGGCAGTTCTATGGTACTCGCGAGCAACTCTCTCATATCCACACTACCCACAGAATAATTATTCTACGTGACCCCATCTGGGGTGTTTTCTCTAACTGTTAGGCGTTGGTGCATGGTGCTATCAATAATAGATGATTGAAATTTTGTGTTCCTCCGAATAATCATGAAGCCTAGTTTCCAGGGCGGAAGTGGTGTAGTGGCAAGTGGCACGCTTACCACGCGAGCGGTCCGGGGATCAAATCCTGGGTCGTGAGTCGCCCGGGCCAACCAAGCCTTCCATCCCTCCGGGGTCGGTTAATTGGTACCAGACTTGTCTGGGAGGATAAAAACACTGACTTGTACATCGGCTGGCCCCCGTCATTGTATAGGCCACATCGCATTCAAACGCCACTACGAATGTACAAATGGAAGTAGAATGCGTGCCGCATCCCAAAAAGGGATTGATCAACGGCAAATGCTTTATCCTTTTTCTAGTTCAACACCGCAATTTCCGGAAACAGGCTTATAGACGTATTTTGAGCACCCACGCTATAAACAGCTGAAAGTGGGCTGTAGATAAGAATGCTGACACTAGCGCAAGATGTGGGTCATCCTTTACAAATGAGTCTGGGAGGGGGTAAGAATGGGGAGAACGGAAGTTGCTCGCGCACCTTGCAATCCTCTCCTCCCGCCTGTAGCTTGGTGCTGTGTGTGACGAAAAGGGGATGATTCACGCGGTTCTAAATACCCTGCCACCACAATGTTCCTTATCCTTGCAATGATGCCAAAGGCTTTATTTAAGGCTTTTTATCCGTTCCTTCCTGCTGCTGAAATTACTGGGAGACTCTAAAAATTCTTTGCAAAACAAAAAACGAAAAAGTATTCTAAGAGAATCTGAAAAATGCATTACTTTTGTACCTGGTGATCTGATGTGTTTACCATTAGTAATTTCCTATTATATTTATATTAGGCCCTTCTTGCTCCTGCTTTTTCCATCGGTGACGAGTCGACTGGCTTCTACCCTTATTTAATCTTTCACAAACCCCCTAATGTTTAGAAATCTGCCTTTTGAGTCGAAGAAAAATGAACTTCCTTATTTTGATGAGCGAAGGAGCTCATGAAGAAGCCTTTTTCCAAGTTGCCATGAATAAATCGGGCGCTCATGTTGTAGGGGGGGAGGACTTTTAAGTGATTGAGCCACTTACAGTACCTGGGACTAAACTCAAGGGGGAGAACGGAATCCCTTTTGGAATAGATTCTTGAAGACCATTTTAACAATCCCTCTGGCGCTCCCCTCCCCCGCTCTCTTGGTTCAGTCCTAGTGTCACCTACCAGCGGTTTTCGACGCCCCCTTTTGAATTCCCTCTCTTTCCAGGACGTGTGAGCTATAAATCGTGTTCTTATTCCAGGTGAAACCAACTGTGGATAGAGCTTTGGCTTTCGGTTTCCGGTTATTCGACACGGCAAAATACTATGTAAATGAGCCAGAGCTTGGAGCAGCACTAGAGGTAACTTTCACGTAACATAACCACCCACAAGGATCTGATGCGATCCGACGGACAAAATGTATTACAAAATTGTCGTCTATAAAATAGCATCATTAGCTTTGTAAATTACCTGAACGTAGTATAGGTCGTACTGTGTGACATCATATGTCACTCTACCGTCATAGTAGGATCATGGAAAATATTGAGAATGAAACACCTTCTTGCTTCTTATTGATGTAAGTAAGCGCAGTCCCGCCCACCCCTGTCATCAGGGTCAAAACTCCATTCGCAGTATTCGAAGGAGGGGTCCCATTTGTGATTGTGAGAAGGGTGGAGGGCTGCATTCCGTGGTTGAGTATGCAAGGCAAGGCTAACTATTTGTTGCCTCATGGCACTCCCTCCCCCTGTTCGACAGCTTTTTTGGAGGGGAAAAAGGGAGTGGGTGGCCGGGCTGAGCCGACTGGACCCAGAATCAAATACCAGCCATGATGGCGAAGGTGGTGATCAGGGTAGGGAGGAGGGGTGTCGTGTTGGGGGAGCCTTATTAGACTGACAGTGGTGATGAGGGTCGCATCGATACCGCTTCAACATTTTCTGGAATGGTTGATTCTGCCCCTACCCCCCCCCTCCTCCTTCCTCGCTCCTCTCATGTGACCTGTTGTCGACCAGCTACAACAGTTTTCAGTTTAGCATGAAATTGGGTTTCAAATGCCTAAATTCCCAAAATGCCACTGCAATTCAAACGTTTACCTGACTACTTGGACTCTAATCCATGCTCCCCCTCTACGGGAGGCTAGAGTGCAAATGAGTGAATACGGCTTCAGCTTCGAACAAAGAATCCCTGAACTACGGGAAGTGGTGGAGACCAGGGGGTGAGGGTGAGTGAGTCGCTTGATGTGAGGCAAAAGCTGAAGCATGTGAGGTCATTTATTTCGACGAGAGAGAGATGAGATGAGGGCAGCACGTTGACCCTTTCTGAGCATCGAGTGTAAGCAGCCCGTGGACCGATTCGAAGGATAGTCAAATGTGGGGCCCATTCTAAAGAGCGATTGGTCCCACTGACGGCTTTGCCAGACAATTTTCATATCTCTCAAATTCGACATGATTTCAAGAGGAATAAACAACATATTACAGGAACTGCTTCCCAAACACAAACTAACACGTGGTGATATTTTCATAACCACGAAATTCCATATGAATGCGGACGATCCAGCTGGTGGAGCACGTAAGCTGGTAATGGAATCATTGGAACGCCTGAGGACATCGTGGGCACATTTTCAATCCAGCTGCTGAGAATAAAGTCGTGATCGTGAACTTTCAGATACGTAGACATGGTGATGATTCACTACCCAAAAGCTCAGCGATGTAATGACAAAGACGAGAATAATAAGTTGCATAGGAAACTAAGTTATTTGGAACTTGAAAAACTCAAAAGTAATGGAAAATTTCCTTGCTAATTTGTAGTTGTTATTAATATTTGCTGAATTTAGACGAAGGGAAAATTCGTTCAGTCGGCGTGTCAAACTACGAAATTCGTCATATTGAAGAAATCAAGGAGTACAGCAAGGTGATTTCACTGGACTTCAATCCACGATGCAAAAAAAACAGTATTACGGTCATGTGTTACCGATGCTTCGGTGGGCGACAGGTGTAGCAATTTCAAAATCACCCACTTGGAGAATGCGTCCGCTCTAGATCTTCGTCCTTGAAGATTCAAGTCCGTATCGAGCTAAAAGACATGGGTCGGTATTGACACTTCCGAGAAATCCCCTCCTTGAGTGAGTAGCAGATTCCCAGTCACAGGTTGATGGTAATGCTGTGCACTCATGTACCCGACGAGGGAGCTGTTGCCTTCACTCGACCGATGTGATCGCTACCGTTTTTATCAGTAGCGGCACACGCCGCGATTGATAAGAATGGCAGCGATCGCAGATCTTCTCTGCAAAGTCGGCTGGTGCAGCTGTGACTAATTTTCACCAATTCGAAAATACGGTGCAGCTGTGCCAAAAAATACACTGGCAATTTCGTGGTGGCTTGTAGCTAAATCTTGGACCGCGTGGCGCTCCACTTATCGTTCGAGATACTTTACACACCTACACAATTGCTACAGACATCTATGCTTATATCTCTTCGTCAGGCGTTGTTCAGATGCATAACATAGTCTGAGACCTTTCTTCTCGAGCTGTACCACTACATTACCATTCTTTGGACGAAGAAGGCATGTATT